TTGTTATAAAAATTATCTTTGATGAATTCTTTAAAATGAAAGATTTGAATTATTGAAATAGTTTGTGGTAGCGTACAAAGACCTACTACTTAGCACCTCCATCCTCTTGTAGTGAAGTCAAAATTCAATGTAATAGTTAGGGATGACAATTTGAAACCGACTCGATGGGGACCCGACCCCCCGACCCCGAATTAAACGGGTTTTCCCTAAAAATACCCCCGCGGGGACGGGGATGGTATTTAAAAATTAATCCCTGAACAGATTCGGGCCGGGGACGAGGAAAAGTGTTCCAGCCCGGTACCCGGCCCGGCCCCGTCCCCGTTCCCTGGCCCGGTTTAACCCCGAACTTATCCCCGTATATATATACTTTCCTATTCACTCATCTACCCTCATTTATTCACTCTCTGTTAACTGATTTCACAAAATCCAATCTCCTCCACACTACTCTCTCTCTCTCTCTCTCTCTCTCACACTCACACACACACACACACACACCCTAATCTAGTTTTCATCTTTGTCTTCGTCTCACCCTAAGCCCCCTCTCTCTCTCTTCTCCTCACCTCCGTTGTTGCCTTGTTACCGACCACCACCAATCGTCAATGGAAGAATCACTCTCTTCCCTCTTCTCCTCTGTCCCTCTCGATCTCACGCTTTGTCTCTTAGATTTGATCACACCCTGTGAATCAACAACAGATCTTGAATCACCACATCGCCGATCGCCAACAGATCGTGAATCATTCTCGGAATCAGATCATGAATCAGCCAACAGATCGTGAATCAGCCCTTAGATCGTGATCGCCAACAGATCGTGAATCAGCCTTTAGATCTCAGATCTAAAATTTATGATTCATGGAGTGAACCGTGAAGCTCTCTCTCTCTCTCTATATATATATATATATTTTTTTTTTGATTCATATTTTTCTTTTATTCAGAATATATATATGTATGTTGTTCATTGTTGCTGCTGTTTTTAGATTATTATTGTTGTTAGATTATTACAACAGATCGTGAGGATCATTGTTGTTAGATTATTATTGTTGTGCATTGTTGTTCATCTCAGATCTAACAAGATTATTATTGTTGCTGCCGTGTTTATTTTATTTATTTATTTTTTGGCTCGGGGAATGTCCGAGGTCGGGGAAAACCGATCCCCGTTAGGGGACGAGGGCAGGGATGATGATGGGTCCCCCGTCGGGGATCGGGGCCAGAGACGGGGTAATTTTCACCATCGGGGATCGGGGACGGGGAGGGTGATCCCCGGCCCCGCCCCGGCCCGTTGCCATTCCTAGTAATAGTGATACCGCTGATGTGATATAACCAAGAAATAGTAAACTTTACATATGGAAAGTCAACCCTCACTTTCTAAGGTTTACATATACATGAAAAGATAGTGAGAAATTATTGAATGGTGATATTGCCGCATCGCCCGAGGTCGGCCAACTAACCTCCTCTATATAGAACCCAGTAACTTCTTAGTGTTGAGCAAAACAGTCTCTGATAGTCTTCGAGACCTCCTGAAATTTCTATTTTCTTTTATTTTAATTAGAGAGAGTTGAGAGGAAATTGGTTAGCCAACCACAAAATTGACTGGGCAGCAAAGAAATTGGCCAGCTGGCTAATTTGCCTTTGTTTAGCCGGCCGACCAATATTTCAGCCGGTTCATCAGTATGTTCAACTGGCCGGTTATTAATTAGCTGGCCCGTCAAATTTTCAATCAGCCAACCAATTTTGATATCAATCTAGAATAGAAAACTGCCGAAGTTGCGTAGGCTCAATGGTTTGTCCTTTCGAGTTGTGTTTTGAGTGTCTTTCATTTCAGTAAGTATAAATAGCCAATTAATTGGCCGACTGGCTAATCCTTTTAGCTAGGACTAATTTCGCATCATGTCTAGGGGCCTTACTAAAAATCCTACCAGAAAGTTGGGCCGCACCACAATTATTTGAAAATTTTAAGTCAAAGTGTAATTTTTAGAATTCAGGGAATATTTCATTAACACCTAGGAATATTATGTGAACCAAGGAATATTTCGTTTGCTATGTCAGTGGTGCGTCCTGCAAACATCATCATCATAAAAAATAAAACACTCAAATCAAAACGGGGTCTTTACGGATACAAATGACGTGGAATCACTCTTATATTAAAGTTTTTTTTTTTTATATATATTTTTTTAAAGTGGGCCTATCGCCCAAATAATACAAATAAGGGAAATTTTGCTATACACACATTTTGAAAAGAGTGTACTATTGCACGCTTAGTTATGTAATTTTTTTTCTTTAATTATAACAATATCTTAGTTATGACTCATGATAAGATTTTTAATTATGTTTCATATAATGTTTAGTTGTGATTTTTTTTTTTCCAATTATGACTCAAATAATATAAAATTATTTAATTTTCTTATTTAGTATTTAGAGGGGTTTTTAGAATGATTTAAATAAATATATTTTTTAACTTTTTATAAAAAATGTAAAAAACAAATGATGTGAATTAAAAACGATCAAAAAAATATATATACTAATAGAGGAAATGCCAAATAATGCCTTAGTTATAAGGTGCGCAAATATATATATATATTTATATATACAACTCATCAATCACAATAAGTTAGATCTGTGCTGCGGTTCAAAAGGAAAATTGCACAGTTGGGGGGCAATTTTAACACGGTATTGTTGGACCTGTAGAGGCTCATCACGAGTCCCATTTTGATAATCATAATCGTTCAATGTGTAGAAATTATCGAATACTATATACTTACAAAACATCACGTTGATCAGATATCAATAGTTACGTGATCAAATCAGCTTTGTATTAAAAAAAATGGACGGTGAAAAAATAAACTGTTGACAGAAATCTGATCCGATGAAATAGCTATCGATATCCGATCAATGTGATTTTTTACAGGCATATAGTATTTGATGATTTCTATACATTGAACGGTTCAGATTATCAAAACAGGATCCGTGGTGAGCTCCCACGAGCCCAACAACACCCTCCGCCTAGAGGGAAGCCAATCCCTTTCCTTTTAGACCATTTTCAACACTGCACTTTTTGTTTCATCAAATTTAAATTTAATGAAAGATGAGCCTTTTGTTGCTTTAACACTTTCACTAAACAGGTATCAAATCCAGAATATGTTAAAAATTTCATCAAGTCGAGGATGACTGTGCTTTTCACCAATTTATTGTTCAGCTATTGGAGCTATAGGTTGTACAACACCACCGAACGACCTGCCGGTTGTCCTCACCTCTTTGCAAAAATCTATGAAAAATTACACTAGTCGATCAATCGAGGTAACATCTCCGATCGTCCTTCTGGTCGATCGATGGTTTGATAAAATTTCAAATTGTTCTATTGAAATACACGATATAAAATGAAAATTTCAAATTTGATGAAAAAAAAAGGTTAAACGTTCGGGATGCTCTTCTAAGTTTAAAATAACATTTGCAATAAGGGTGTAAAACTGACTCGTAGCTTGGGATGGGCCCGGACCCGAGTCCAACCTTAGACCTTGGGTTTAGACTTGGGCTATCATTTTGAAGCCCGGCCTGGCTCTTGGCACAACCCATCAACTTGCTCAAGGCCTATTAAAAGCCCGACCCAAGGCTCAGTCCGTCGGGCCCACTCGAGGCGTAGTTTCATTTTCAGTAGAAAAAAATAAAATTTTGATAAAAAAAATATAAAAAAAATAAAAAAAATGTTCTGACCCGCCCAGGCCACTCAAGCATAGGCTCAAACTCTTAAGCCTAATTTGTTGGCCTATGATCTGGCCCAACCTAAATTTTGACGAAAACTCGTAAACTCAGACATGAGCCGATAGAGCCCAGGTGGACCGGGACTGGCCAAATTTACACTCCTAATTTGCAGTTTATGACTTTATATATATATATATTTATTATTTATTTAATTATTCATAGAGAATCCAATATTTATTTAATTATGGGTAAATTACATTGACACCCCCTGAGATATATGTTTATTACAGTTCCCTATACACCTTTTAGAAATTACATTCCCTTCCCTGAGATTTAAAATTTCATTACAGATTGCTCCCTCTAGCAATTTAATTTTTTTAAATACTAATTTTGTCTGCACTGGATAAATTACATTAACACCCCTTACATTTTAAAAATTACAATCCTCTCCCCAAGGTTTAAAGTAGTATTATCAATTGCCCCCCGATTAGTATTAGTTGAAAAAAAATTCATTGAAAAAAAAATTAATTGGAAAAAAAATTAATTGAAAAAAAAAATTAATTGAAATTTTTTTTTGTTAGTCAAAATTTTAAATTTCTATTTAAAAACCAACGTAAGATAAAAATTACACTGACACCACTTGAGGTTTATGTTTATTACACTCGAAAGTTAAAAATTCTATAAAAATGATAATTATTTTTTATTTTTTATTACTTAACCAAATTAAGTTTTAATTTTTTATTTTTTTTTTCTAAAAATCAAACCATACATAGTCTCAGAATCTTTTGATAAGTCTTTTCTTACGTTGGTAACTTATTTAATTATTTGTTAATTTTAAAACATTTTTATCATCTGAGGCCTGTTTGGTAACCATTTCGTTTTTAGTTTTTTTATATTTACAAAAATTTAAAAAACTGTCATAAAAACTTGTTTGATAATTTTTTTGGTTTATAAATGGTTGTCTCAGTTTGTAAATTTGAGGAAAAAACGTAAATTCAAAAAATGAGTTTACGTTGGTTTTTAAACAGAAATTTAAAAATTTGGCTAACAATTTTTTTTTTCAAATAATTTTTTTTTAATGAATTTTTTTTCAACTAATGCTAACTGAAGGGACAATTAATAATACTACTTTAAAACCTTGGGGAGGAAATTATAATTTTTAAATGCGAAGATTATCAATATAATTTATTTAATGAATATAAAATTAATATTTAAAAAAATTAAATTGGCATGAAAAATAATCTATAATAAAATTTTAAATCTCAGAAAAGGGATTTCCCAAAAGGTGAAGGAAATTGTATAATTTACCCTTTAATTATTCATAGAGAATCCAATTCCTTTGGAAGCACTGTCGACGGAAATGCACGAAAGCAAACCGCTACCATACTCCTCTCTACAGCCTCCTACTGTCGGGAAAATTAGGGATTCCGTCTCTCTCTCTCTCTCTCTCTCTCTCTCTCTCTCTCGGAGGTATAGCTTCGATTTTTGAAGTGGGTTAGTTGATCAATTACGTATAATTCATTCATTCATTCATCTTTGTTGTAGGGTTCCAATCTCAAATGGCACCTGACCCAAACTTCGCTGATGGACCCCAAAATGACTCCTCCTCCTCCTCTCTTCTCTCCATCCGATACGAACCCGGTTCGCTTCAGTTACTCGATCAGGTTTCTCTCTCAATAATTTTATTTGAAGTAGCTGAGTGATTTTTTTTTTTTTTTTGAGCTGAGAAATGCCCGAAGGCTAGTAGTTGAGTGATTTTGTTTAATACTGTTTTGTGTTAGAACGTTTTTTAAAGTTGTAATTTCGTTTTAGTGTAGGTTTCGAAAAATATTTTCAAATTAGTGGTAAACTTTATAAATATTAAAATGTAAAATTAGTAAAGTTTTTCATGAATATGTAATTAAACTTTGAAAATTCACTGACATGGAATTTCCACATTTTAAAATTCATGTCTGGAATTCTCTCAAAGTCCTTTATCTTGCGTTTTGAGAGACATAATCAAATCAAATTTTGATATGAAAAAGGCAAAGATATGTTCTTTGGGCCATATATATAATATAACATTGGAAAATGCAAAAAATTATGGGTTGTTGATGGCTTTTCGTTTTTGTTTCATTCAGCTGATCACTTCTGTATATTTATTTATTTATTTTTCTAAAACAGAGAAAACTTCCTCTTGAAACTACCTACATGGATATTCGAGATTCAACAGATGGATGGTAAGGTTTTTTGCTCTGTTTTAATTAAATCCATTTACTATTGATTTCATCAGCTGTTCTGTTTGGAAATGCAGGAAAGAATAGATAAGAAATGATTTGTTAAATTGAGAGAGAAAAGAAAAGAAAAGAAAAAGATTGTCTTTTCTCTCCCTCTTGTTCGGTTAAGCTGGAGATAAAATGAAAGAGAATATTAGTAATTTATTTTTAATCTTATTTGAAAAGACTACATCAAAATAAAAATAAAAACAAAAACTATTATAGGTTATATTACCAAAATAATCGTTTATGTTTTAATTTCTTTGGTACTAGATGGATAATTTTGGTATTATAAAAAGTTAGTAATCATTCAATTTCTTTTCTCTCCAGTCTCTTCACTTTTTGAGATATTCAGAAAGTGAATTTTAAGAGAAACCAGTTTCGCTCCGTCTCTTTCCATTTCATCACTTCAGAATTTATCAAACATTCATCTCTTTTAAGCTTTATTACTCTTGTGCCCACGTAGTCTTTATTTCTTTTGTCAAAGGAGCAAGAGACGAATACAGTTAGAGTGCATAGTAAGAAGAGTATATTGTATAATGATGAAATCTCCAAGAAGACATTGTCTAAAGCCAGTTCCACACTAAAGGAATGATTCTGAAGATTCCTCGAAAATGTTTTGGTTTCTCTTCCATTTCATAGGTGCACATCAACCTACATGACTCATATTATATTATAGCTACACTCATATTGTAGCATACAAACGAGCTTTCCTGATTAATATAGGTTCTTTTTTTTTATTACCCCTAAGCCTTTGACTTTTGTTTTTTCTCTCTGTTATTTAATTTTAAAGTTTTTTTTGGTGATGTGATGGAGGTTTCTGGCAATATTTCTTGCTTGTACATTATTCCACCCATTGATTTCCCAGTTCATACATATAAATTAGTTGTGAAATTTGTATTATGAACTTTAGTTTCTTTATCTGTCTTCTGTTTGGACTATTATAATTATTATATAGGGCAAACTTCATTTTACCCCTGTGGCTTCGGCTATGTGTAGTTTACCCCCTTAACCTTTGGAAATGACCACATAACCCTATTGTGGTTTGTGGACTGAAGTATACCGTTAAGCCCATTAACGATTTAATGAAAAAGACTAAAATATCCTTGTATTTTCATCATTTGTTTGGAAGGTGAAGTGCGCTTTAACCTCCTGTGCTTTATTCCATATGCGATTTACCACCTTGAACGTTGAAAATAAGCATATAATCCCTCTATGTCTGTCACGTTTTCACACTTACTGTTAAGTTGGATGGAATTTTTAACGGTGCACTTCAGTCCACAAACAACGTGGGGGTTATGTGGTTATTTTCAAATGTTAGTGGGGGTAAACCACACATGACCCAAATCACAAAGGGGTAAAGTGAAGTTTGCCCTATTATATATCCCATGAAACCCACTCCTGAAAAGGGTGAAAACCCAAGATAAGGCAAATTCAGACATTTAATTGGAGAGAGATGGTTGTTCTTTCAATTAGCAAAGATAATTGTTGTATTCGATCAACATCTTGATGTTGTAGGACCATGATTGCAAGTCAAGTCCATGTTGGAGACAGTGGGCAGTAAATTTCTCGCCGCTTTTCCTTAAGCCCTATCTCTACTAAAGCTTAGATGCTTAATTGGCATTCGTTATTTTTTTTATATGTTACTAGCAAGTGACCAAGTGCCGTACCTTCTGTAAGCATTTCATGGAAGTCAACTAGACTTTTCAAATGCTTTAAGCAGTCTCTTAACTTATTGCCTCAGGTGTGCAATAAGGGATATGGTTGTCCGTGGGGCACCTGCAATTGCTGTAGCTGGCGCCCTCTCTCTGGCAGTGGAAGTGTTTAACTTGGAAACTTTTAACGGGACATCTGAAGATGCAGCATCCTTTGTCACAAATAAATTAGAATATCTTGTCTCAAGGTAATTACTAACTAGTATTTCTATTACACACTGATTTTGTTTTTGGTTTATAACTTACATTCTAGTTATTGTTGAGCAATAACTGATGTCTTGTGTACTTTGTCAGCCGGCCAACTGCTGTAAATCTTTCAGATGCTGCAACAAAACTTAAAGAAGTCGTATCAAAGGCAGCTGCCACTTCTTCACAAGCAATGGCTGTTTTTCAGGTAGTGAATCTGTTTTTCTCTTCTTTGACTTAGGTAAATCCACTTTATGGTTTATTAGGATATAGAAGAGGAGAAAACTTGAAGTACTCACATATCTTGAAATTTGGTTTCACTGGAAGCTAAAGTGTACACTGTTATCAATCTTCCATTGCACTTACAGTTTCTGTTACTGTTAGGCTTACATTGAAGCCGCTGAGCTAATGCTTAAGGATGATGTTGCTTCAAATAAAGCAATTGGGTCTTTTGGAGCTAGTTTTCTTCAGCAACAGCTGGGAGACTCTAAGAAGTTTTCTATTCTGACCCATTGCAACACTGGCAGGTATTCCTCTCTTGCTCTCTCCATGTGCAGGCCATGTTTTTATCTGTATACACGTGTGTTCTGTTTGTGATCTTCTAATATGTATATTTTATGTTTGATTTTTTATTTTGATAGAAAGCATTGAAGCGGCCAACCCATGTTATATTTTCTAACTCATTTATAATTGCCATTCCATTTTGGTAGTCTTGCTACAGCTGGATATGGGACTGCTCTAGGAGTCATCCGTGCACTTCATGCCAATGGAGTTTTAGAGAGGGCATATTGCACAGAAACACGTCCATTCAATCAAGTAAGTTTTTCAAATTGTGTTTGTTTCTATTTTTCATTAGCATCATTCAAAAACTTGTAGAGGTCGTGGCTTGGCATGATGGCAACTGCTATCTGCCCCCGATGTTGTGGTGTAAGTTCAAGCTACAAGAATCAACCTCTTCACAAAATAATGGGGGCTAACCACTATCTCTCCCAGACCCTGCTGTAAGCTGGAGGCTTGTGCACTGGATATGATTCTTTTTGATTTTTTATCATTTCAAAACTTGTGTTACCTTATATTCCCAAAGTCACCACCACCATAAGCAAACTTTTCCACTGAGAGCAAAAGAAAGCACTGCCTATCCAAAGATATTTTGAAGTTTAGCATCCTTTGCACAAAGAAACTTTGCTATTGAAAGCAAAAGAAATCAGTGCATACTGCCAAAAATTATTTTCATGAGTGACCCATAATTATGGTTTTTGTTTACTATTTTTTGAAAACCACTAGCGTTTTCCATTTATAGAAGTTGAAAATGACATGCGAATCCTCGTTTGGGTAGAAACAATTTTAGCTAAAAAGCCAAAAAATAACTAAAAAAACCAAAAAGTTTTCAATTCATACAAAAAATTCAAAGATCCTTTCCATTCAATCTACTTTTTGCGCGTTTTCTTTCGTAAAAAGCCAACAAATCCTTCCCAAACATATTAGTTTTGTCACCTCATATTTTAGCCAAAAAGCCACTACAAAAAACACTTCCAAACGAGCTCAAGTTGGTTATAATCATAGTTTCATCAAGTGTAATTAACCTTTATATGCATTCATTGTAGAAGTTTGGCTATTGAAATTGGGTTGGAAATCACAACAGAAATATACACACCATGACAACGACAGCTGCCCCTCTATATTTGTCATTGATTGTCGACAGTGTAAGTTTCATATAAACATATATGCTAATATGTATGTATACCTTTTTATGTATTGAACCTGTTGCAGGGATCCAGACTGACAGCTTTTGAGTTGGTGCATGATAATATCCCCGCTACTCTTATAACAGATTCGGCTGCTGCTGCACTAATGAAAGCTGGACGCGTGAGCGCCATCATTGTTGGAGCAGATCGTGTGGCTGCAAATGGTACTTCAGTACCCTAATCGATACATGCGCTTTAAGTTTCGAGTTAGTGTTTGACTCATGCATTTCGATCTGAATGCAGGTGATACTGCTAACAAGATTGGAACATACAGCCTTGCAACGTGTGCAATCCATCACAGTATTCCATTTTATGTTGCTGCTCCCTTGACATCCGTTGATTTATCCCTTTCTTCCGGGCAAGAAATTGTTATAGAAGAGAGGTCTGCGAAGGAATTGCTGAACTCTCGTGGAGGACTTGGGGAACAAGTTGCTGCTTCTGGAATCTGTGTCTGGAACCCTGCATTCGACGTTACCCCTGCTTATATGATAAGTGGTATCATTACAGAAAAGGTCTCTCTCTCTCTCTCTCTCTGTGTCTGTCTATCTCTCAATGCGCACAAGTGCCAAAAAGCATTACATTTTCAAATGTGTGCTCCATTTCTTTTGGCGGACAACATTTTCTGTAAAATATTTTTCACATTTGCTGGCATTTTGTATGACAAAAAATGAAAAAAAAGAAGCTTATTTGGATGAACAATGTTTTTTACTTTTCAATAGGTGAAAAATGTTTTTCGAACTAAAATTTTACCAATGTCACCACTGCCACACTACCACTACGGCCACCACCTCCACCACCGCCTCACCTCCACCACTAATACAACCACTAGCACATTTCGAGACAAGCACTCGTAGGAATGGTAATTCCCATGTTCTTTGTAGAGCCCATACTGATTGATTAGAGCATGAAACTCTGATGAGTGAACTAAACCAATAGCAGTTTTATAGCCGCAATCAAATATAGAAAAATATATTCTGCCAAAACAAATGGAAGGATAATTGGCTTAATTTGAGTCTAACAACGGGTGTTATTTGATCAGGGTGTCATCACAAAGAATGGGAGTGACACGTTTGACATAAAGGGCTTTGTACAAAGGGCAACTTGTAACCCATAAGAGGAAGAGGCATCAAGCTTTGGAAGTGGTCTACAGACTTTGGCTTGTAATAATAATGTAATTTTCTCAATTTGGTAGACACAGAGAGGGTTATTCCCTTTTCATTTAGAAGGCAGTTCTTGGATATGAGTTATAGGAATTAGTCATTTGCTATGATATTTCACCGGTAAGCTATGGCCTGGAGCTCATTTATACTATATATTAAATAAAAAGAGGTTTTTAATCCCAAATTTTGTAGAAGGTTCAATATCTCAATTTGAATTTTTTAAATTTTTTATTAAATAAATATATAAAAAAAACTTAGCATTTATTGATTTGGTCAAAATTCTCTGATCAGTATTTATTAATTTTTTTCAATTCATGTCTTTTTACATATTTGCATTTATTGATTTTGTCAAAATCTCTTGATCAGCCTTTAAAATCTCCTCATACAAATAATTATAGATACAATCCGTGTATAGTTACTGCAGTATTCTTTTCAACTTCTCTCATATACTATGGTTAATGATAAGATTGTTAAATTATTTTTATAAAAAATTTTAAAAAACATAATTTATATATTAAAAAAAATCTAAAATAAATACAAATATCTATAATTATTCCGTGTATAGTACGGGTAATAGGCTAGTCTATTTATACTATATATTAAGTAAAATGGGGTTTTTAACTCCCAAGGCCTGTGGGAGATTCAATATCTCAATCTGAATCTTTAAAATTTTTTATTTAAAGAAAAAAAAAACTCAGCATTTATTGATTTGGTCAAAAACTTATGATCAACATTTATTAATTTTTTTCAATTAACATGTTTTTTCACATTTCTACATTTATTGATGTGATCAAAATTCTCTGATCAGCATTTAAGATCTCCTCATACAAATAATTATACATACAATTCGTGTATAGTTACTATAGTGTCTTTTTTAATTTCTTCCATACACTATAGTTAGTGATAAGGTTGTTAAATTATTTTTATAAAAAATCTTAAAAAACATAATTTATATATTAAAAAAAATCTAAAACAAATATAAATAGGCTAGTATTTATACTATATATTAAGCAAAATGGGGCTTTTAGTTCCGAATTTTGTGGGAGCTCCAATCTTTCAATCTAAATTTTCTAATTTTTTGGTTTTAAAAAAAAATAGAATCTTAGCATTTATTAACTTCTCCCAACTCTCAAGTCCTTGTCCTCATAATAACACTTTAATGCATTAAGAACAAGCATAAAAAAAATTCTTTAAAATCCAACACATATGAATTCCTTGAAAAGTCCCAATACATATGATTATTATCTCTCATAATAACACTTTAATGCATTAAGAACAAACATAAAAAAAATTTCTTGAAAAGTCCAACACATATGATTATTATCAAAATATTAAACTTTAATATAATATAATAATAATAAAAATATTTAATTCTTTGAAAAGTCCACCACATATGATTATTATCAAAAAATTAAACTTTAATATAATATAAAAAAGGAAAAAAGAAGACATTTAAAAAAAAAAAAATTTAAAAATCACAATTCACATATATAGGTAATTGTAAATACAATCCGTGCATAACACAGGTGATATGCTATCTATACTATATATTAAGCAAAATGGGGTTTTTAACTCTAAGCCTTGTGGGAGCTCCAATCTCCCAACCTAAATTTCTTAGTTTTTTTATTTAAAAAAAAAAAATTAGCATTTATTAACTTCTCCAAACTCCCAAGTCTTACCATCATAATAACACTTTAAAGTTTAATGTATTAAGAACAACAAAAAAAAAAAAAATTCTTTGAAATCTAATACATATGAATTCCTTGAAATATCCCAACACATATGATTTTTATCCCTCATAATAACACTTCAAAAAAAAAAAATCTTAGCATTTATTAACTTCTACCATGTCTTACCATCATAATAACACTTTAATGCATTAAGAACAAGTATAAAAAAAATTCTTTGAAATCCAACACATGAATTCCTTGAAAAGTCCCAACACATATGATTATTATCCCTCATAATAACATTTTAATCCATTAAGAACAAGCATAAAAAAAAATTTCTTGAAAAGTTTAACACATATGACTATTATCAAAATATTAAACTTTAATATAATATAATAATTAAAAAAGACATTTAATTCCTTGAAAAGTTCAACATATATGATTATTGTTAAAATATTAAACTTTAATATTGATGATGGAGTTCGTCCTAGGTGGATGGGTCGGGCTGGTCTAAGCACTTCAAGTTCCGATCCAGGTGGATGGTTCCACCAGATGACCTGCAAGCAAGTCCAAAGGGGAACGGGGTAGTCCCCTAGTGAACCCTCTGGCGAGCAAATCAGTAGTGGAAGAAAGAAAAGTACATAGAGAGAGAGAGATAGAAAAGCTTGACATTCCTCTTGTCTTTGATTCTTGCTTATATCCTTTGGTAATCATTTCACTGTCCTTTGCGACGTGCCCCCTTCCGCCGAAAGCCTGTGCCGTAGCTTACCTTGTTCAGGGTGAGGGGGCTCTGTTCCGACGGGGAGGTGTTGTCGTAATAAATGCTGTGATGGGCTGCATTAATGGTGATGTGTTGTCGCAATAACTCTACAGATCTTTGTCTGCTGATGTGGCCTGTGTTTCACCTGTCATGTGCCCGAATGTCATTGGCCCTCCATGCCCAGATGGCCTCCAACTGTCCTGGGCTTTGCCAACCGGGTTATGCTGTGGGTCCCAAGTGATGGGTTTGGGGTTGTTTGTTGTGGGCTGTAAGCCTTATGGGCCTATCCATGTCAGTAGTCTCCCATTTCCGAGTGCAGCTTTAGTCCAACGAAGGGAATAATAATAAGGATGAGAAGTGCAAACCGAGGGTGGCCGAGCGGAGGGGGTCGACCGTTAGGCGTGCCGAGCGCAAGGGTGGCAGAGCGGGAGGGGTCGACCGTTAGGCGTGCCGAGCGCAAGGGTGGCCGAGCGGGAGGGGTCGACCGTTAGGCGTGCCGAGCGCAAGGATGGCCGAGCGGGAGGGGTCGACTGTTAGGCGTGCCGACCGCAAGGGTGGCCGAGCGGAGGGAGCTGGCCGTGAGGGTGGCCAAGCCGGAGGGGTCGACCGTGAGGCGTGCCGACCAGGACGGTGAGGGGCTCAAAAAAAATGGGGGGCGTGCCACGTGATGATGTGAAATGGAAATGACAGGGTAAGGGGAGGGGACAGTGCATCGTAGCCATACACGTGGCAATATCGTGGGGGAAGTGAAGCGTTGGAGCAGAAATGAAACGATAGGTCACGAGGGGGGTTTTGAAAAGGCGGTTTTGGCGGTTGATTTGAAAGGTTTTTAAACGAGCGAAAATTAATGTGGATCCATGGAATACGGGTAAACCGTGGGTTTTAGGTATAATTCGTTTCACCTACCTTTTTACAAAAACTCAAAATACCAAGTGTTAATTCCTTCATTGCACACGACACACCTGTGTAACATTTTCTCAACTTCCTTGCTCTTGCGTCAGAAGTGATTCATAAGCAAACCCTAGAAATGGCACAAGAAGAAGTGGTGAATGTGAGGGTGGACCCTCTGGGAGACGATGATGCAGAGAAGCTAGCAGCGCGATATAGGACGGAGACACGAATGGTGGGGGTGGGGGAACCAGTAGGACAAGCGCGGGCATTGGCCCTAATATTGGCTCCAAGGCCAATAAGCCAGGTAGAACCGGATCAGTGGCACACTAAGGCTGACAAATCCACAATTACTGCGGCGGATTTGGAGGGTATCAGGGAAAAATACCAGATTCCAGCTGAGGTGGAGTTATTGCTGCCAACATTAAGGGAAGGTCATCTGATGCCAGGCCAGGGGAGTTTTTCCTTTACGAGGAGGCGCTAAAAGGTGGGTTGAGGTTGCCACTGCCCCAAGTGGTGGTTGATGTACTGAACTGTTTGGAAGTAGCACCGGGGCAATTGATGCCCAATGCATGGAAGATTCTACTGGCCTGTGCTAGCGCGTGGCCCAAGGCGAATGGAGGGGAAGCCATGGCGGTAGACGAGTTCTTTTCCTGTTATAAGGCTTCGGGACAGCAAGAGACGTGGGTCACCCTTCAGGCAGTGATGGGGAGGGGATTGGTGGCGGGGCTGCCGACATCGATCAAGGAGTGGCGGCCACGGTGGTTCTACGTGTCTGCCAATGGGGGATTGGGAGTGCGCACCATCTGGAAGGTGCCCATTAGGTCGATGGAGTCAAGACTGGGGGCAGCGGCGGAAGAGAGGGTAAAGAGGGTGAAGGAGTGGAGGGAGAGAGAGAAGGCCAAATGGGACGAGCTGGTTCAACCGTCCGCATTGTTTGAGGCAGGGTTGGGACCGCAGCCGAGGGGTGGGGACCTCGACCGAGCAGAATTGGAGGCGAGAAGAGAAGTTCAGGAGGCAGAGGATCAGGCCATACTTGCCAAGGCCACAAAGTTGAAGGAAACGCGAGGAGATCGACCGCCTCAACCGATCGCGCGGGAAAGGATCCGACCGCGCCCAAGGCCGCTGGGGGGGAAGGACTTAAGCAGTTTTGAGCCACGACCGCCCCTAGTAGATCCTGTAAAAGAACATGCCAAAAAGGAGGGGGAGGCTCTGAAGAAGAAGAAGAAGAAGAAGGGGAGTGCCCCAGAGGGAGCTGCAGATGAGCCTGGGGCCAAGAGGGCTAAGGTGGCCCCAGCTGAGGTGGAGGTCCCTGTGGCTAAGGAGACCCCAGAGGTGGTGGAGGTCACCCCAACACTGGAGGTTGTGGAGACTGCCCCAACAGTGCAAGTAGGAGTTGGGTTGACTGAGGTTGCGCTGAGTGGGAGGGAGCAGACCCAAAAGGGCCCTGCCCCCCAAGAAGGAGGGGTCCGTTTGGCCACGGCAATCTATCACGCTCACGCGGTAGTTGGAAGGTTGGAGGGAGAAGAAGGCCCAGCCAGGGCGGGGGCAGACCGCTTGGTGAAGATTGTGGAGGAGACAGCCCTGCGCTCGGCATCGGGATTCAATGAGGCTGACCTGCTGAGGGGGTTATGCTCTGCCCAAATGGAGGTAACCACCTTGGCATGGGCCCTTCTAAGGAAAGTAGGGGCTGCCAAGCTAAAGGCTGAAGAGGCCAAGGCCCAGTTGGCCAAGTTGAAGAAGGAGAGTGCCGATTGGAAGACTGCCCATGCTGAGCTGCAAGCAGTCAAGTTGGAGCTGGAGGACACACGCCGTAAGGTCGTGTCGCTCGAGTTCCAACTGGCTGGCGAACAGAAAAAGTTGGAG